ACAACCTAATTGCATACCCCTCGACTCTTGGCATGCCAACTATACATGTAGCTCTCATTACATATAACATGGGCATTGCACTTATCTTATTACATATTCACACATTCATATCACATAGCTCTTTATCACATTTTCATATGATCACATAGTCACGTAGTTCACTTCCATATAATTCACATGTCACGTATACCTTTTCTCATATTCATATAAACATATCATTTCATTCATAATCACATATCTCATATTCACATGATCTCTTATATTCATATCATATATCTTATAACAGATTCTTATATCATCACATATATCCTTTATACTCATTCACAATTACACTAACATATACTCACTTATATCATATAACATATACCATTACATATAACACATATAATCTTATTCAAGTACTAAGTAACACCCAACAATCATATCAACACATGTCTATATTCATGAATTCATGCATCCTAATATAGGAAATATACTCATCGCAAGTCTTATTTCCCTTAAACATCATATATCAACTAATATGCACTCACCTGGCCCCACTAGTCAATATCGTTCTCTTAACTTTTATTCGATACTCAATACTTGTCGACTAGTCTAGACTTGCTCTCGATTGATATCTACATAATCATACATTATACATGTCAATATTCTAAATATCATACTCAAATTTTTATTTCTTAAACTAAAAGAAAGATATATTTCCATTTTCCCTTTGAAGTGTATCGATACCCACTATAGGGTATCGGTACATCCCTTCACTGGTGTATCGGTACACTGCCTATGTATCGGTACACAAATTATATTCCAAAATTTTCTTTTCAAGGGTGGTATCGATACACTCCTCAAGGTATCGGTATCCTATGAATATCTTCCTGAATTTTACTCTTGATGTATCGGGACTTGATGAATGGGTACCGATACCCCCTTGCCCATAATTCTCTTTTAAGCCCGAAAATCACTTCATTTCCACTCAAATACTTTACATTTCATCTCCTTTCATATTCCTAACTCACATACACATACTTAGACCCATTTATTCTCATTTATTACATCAGTAACCTCAAAATCATATATTCTACATAGAATTCAAGAATCATATCAAATTTTTAATATGTTCTAATTCCAATTCTAACACTTCATACTTCTTAATTCCACTGATGACAAGTCAAATTCATAATTAGAACTTCAAAAACATCTTCATTCTAACAATTCATTTCTACACCCTTAATATAATTTCCTTTTTAATTCTCTCTTCTTGATGTTTAAAGCTTATATAAGCTTTCCTTAAGCTTATATAAGCTTTACTTAAGCTTATATAACACCCAAAGAATCAAAACCAACTTATAAATCCAAGAATTAAACAGCAGAAATTAACTTACCTTTAACTGAGGCTTACGGGGAGAAGAAGATAACCCAACTCTCCAGACATTTCTTTTCTTTTCCCCTATTCCCACGTGTTATATCCTATATAAAGGAGAAATAAAAATATTTCTTATGAAATTTCCATTATACCCTTTAAACTTTCCATAATTTACCATTTAATCCAATACTGAAATATTCCTATTTAAGTCCCTTAACTTTTAACTTGTTTCGAAATTGAGCGCATAGTTTTCAAAATTTGCAATTTAGTCACTAGTCCTATTTTGGGATGTTACATTTCTAATCTCAAATCCATTCTTGTGATGTAAACAATGATCAAAGTGTTATAGGCTAAGCAAAAAAACTTTTAATGACCATTGTGTGCTTCGGTGAGCCGAGCAACATAAGTCACATATGTGAGAGTGAAGTGAGGCCTCTTCAAGGAGACAATTAGGGCATAGTTCTCTCAAACTCTTGCAGAACCAAGAGAATGTCCATTGATTTAAGGACATACCAATGAGAACTAAATTCTTGTAAGAGAGATAGTTGTGTGAAGTAAGTCATCGTTTACACAAACGACAAAACAATTCAATGACATCGCGTCTGCTGTTTAACTAGTAAAGTAAACATACTGTCACAAGGGAAGGTTCAAAGGAGGACACCTACTTATCCTATGCAACTATCAATCGTAGAGGCTATCACCACATCATGTCGAAATGTTTTTGATTAAATCATCAATTTCATTCAGGTGGGGGATTGTTGGAAAAATAGTGAATTTAATTGATGGATTTAATACTTATATTAAATCGTAGTCCTTTTGACTATTGCAAATTAAAAGATAATTTTTTAAAATATTAGTAGGTTAATTAATCTTTTAATAAATCAATTTAAAAATGTATTTGTTATCTTTTTAATTTTGAATATTAAAAGATAATTATATACTTTTATATATTTCAAATTAAAATAATATAAATTTAAGTTTGAATAGTAAAAGGAGTTTATCTTTTTACCATTACAAATTAAATATATTATTTAATTTTAATATTAGTAGGATAATTACTCTTTGAAAATATCAACTTAAAAAGGTATTTATAACCTTTTTAACTTTGAATATTAAAGATAATTATATATTTTTTCATATTTCAAATTAAAATAATATATATTTAAGTTTGAATGGTAAAAGGAGTTTTATCTTTTGAATATTTAAAATTAAAAGATATTATTATTTGTTTAATGTTGAATATTAAAAGTTATTTAGTTGGATTAAATCTCTTTTGAAAATCTCACATAAATAGTGAGCAAACCTATTAGGTATTTCATATCTCACAACTCGGTTTTTCAAGAACTTCTCTTATCTTGAAAAAAATTTATCTTCCTTAATTTTTCCAGTGATAGTCGAATGCAATGATCGTTCGTGATCTTTGCAGATGTATTACTATAGCTGGTCATAAGTTATTGTATCCTGGGAGACAGACGACCTACGAACTCGAACACCAAAGGGGTGGCCGAAAATTTGTGTTAAGTAAACTGTGCAGCGACAAGCCTCAACTGATTCCGGTTGATAGATCAAAATAAAATGAGTATTTTATTTCCATTTATTTTTATCTTATATACTAAGAAGTTTAATCTTTTTTGTTTATTTTCTCATGATTGATTTTATTTCAAATTGTTATTTCGGATAACAATCTTAAAATAAGAATGAACTTGTTCATTTTCTTTATCATTTTGTACTTTTTGATATTTTTTAATTATATTTATTTATTATTTTTTTACATTATTCTTATATTAACGTGTGCGTTTTTTCTAACACCATTTCCATTCTCCTTGTCCGTTGACCATCTTGTCGATCGTCACCTTGGGTAAATTCCTAAAACGCTCTTGGATATTGAAGTGATCTTTTGACGCACCAATGTCACCTAGCCATGGGCCTCTCCTGAAATCGATGGAACTGTCGTTTCCAATTGACCATACCAAGCTGTCTCTCACATTCTCCCATACTAGGCTGATACCTTTCCAGAGTCTTGTGCAGCTCGGTTTCGCGATATCTTGTGGTACTGTTTCTTTCCATCTATATTTGGTCCGTAGAACTTGTGCCCATAGTTGGTTAGGGCAGGTTACTAGATTGAAGGAGATTTTCATTAGGAACGCGTCGTTTTGTTTTTCTAGAATTTTGAATACAAGTCCATCATTCGGGATCAGTGAGCACACTGTATTCCATCGAACAAGAGTTATTCCTCTTTTATCCTCCGATTTGCCCCATAGGAAGTGTCGGATTATCATCTCGATCTCTTTGCAGGTGGTTTTAGGTAGCATTGTCGATTGCATGTAGTAAGGAATTGTTGCAAGCACCGATTTCGCCAGTGTTATCCGGCCAACATTAGCTGGCTTTAATTCTCTTGAGAAAGATCTAAGATTCATCATTAGGCTAGAAAATTCTAAATAATTTTTTGGGTAAACGACGCATTTAATATCTTAACTATCAGTTTATATCGGTTTTAGTATCTAAACTTTTAATTTTTTTTCAAAATCATACTTGATGTTTAGTTTTTTTGTTTCATTTTAGTACTCACCTTTAAAAATTTAACGCGTTTAATACCCAAACTATCAGTTTTGTTTCGTTTTAGTATCTAAACTTTTAATTATTTTTAAAATTTGACGTTAAATTTTGAATGGAGTACTAAAATGAAATAAAAAATAAATTTTAAGTATGATTTTAAAAAATTAAAAGTTTAAGTACTAAAATGAACTAAAAGTGATAACCTAAGTACTAAACATGTAATTTATTCTAATTTTTTAACATTGTCATTTAGAATGAATAAAAATATTTATAGTTGGTTGATTTGTTTAATTATCATGTGAAAAAGTTTTACAGGAAAAATGGGTGATTATTGTGAAAATGATTGTTAGGGATGAAAATGGATTGAGTTAAGGTGGGGTTTTTAGTTAATTTGATCCGACTCGAAAATCTGTATCTTCCACCTAAACTTGACTTAATCCAAAAATTATATATTATTTATCCGGCTTGAAAAATAAATATACTCTATCCAACTCGAATTTGATTCGTATTTTTAGAATATAAATCCGACCTAATCCGATCTAACCAAGTATAAGATAAAGACTTAATTAAAATAATAATATTTTTAAAAGAAATTATATTATTATCTCCGCATCGGATCGGATCAGAGTTTTTCTTCATCATCCACCATTACCTGACCTGAGTCGATCTCATCTCTTAAAAAATTCGATCCAACTCAAATTAAACCTGATTTGTTTTAAAAGAAAAATCCAACCCTATTAAATCAGATTGAATCAAAAGATATTAGTTTCGGTTTAAATTACCATACCTAATGGTTGTTTACATTTGAGTTTATGCGTTACAAGAAAAATCATCTTCCCAGCCATGAACTCGTGAGTTAAATTCCAGTCCAAGCCCAGCAGAATCGGTAATGTGGGCTTGGCATCGGGAGACTCGGCACTATCCGCACGATGTATCACCAGATGGAAAATATCCTGCGACGATGAATCGCAGACTCGATGTTCAATTCCAGAACGTTCTTTTTTGCCAGCTGGAAAGCGAGAAGTACACACCGACCTCCACTGGATTTTCTTTCGAATCCGTACAATGTATCGCCAAATCGACGACGCTATCTATACGACGTATAGAGAAATCGCAAGTCTCCACTCTCTCACTATAAAAACACAAAACTGGGATTCCGATTTCTCTTTATTTTCTGTTTGTTGCGGAAACGATACTATCAATGGATGGCTTCTGGAACGAGCAATTTTCCCCGAACCTATCCGATTACGGTGAAGCAAATGTAAGCTTTTTTTTTTTTGAAGTTTTAGATTGTGCTGTTGACTTAATAATCTTCAACTTCTCTGATACCTCAGCACGATATCTCACCCTTGTGTGAGTTTTAATTGCTGAATATAGAACTTGCGGGGATTTTATAGGTTACAGATATTCCGGTTGTATTTTAATTTCGTTGGAGTCCATTTTTTTTTCAGCTACCAGTATGGAATCAAGGACTTTTAATGTACCCGATCTCAGTACAAAATCATTCCGGACTAAGCAGCGGGATTACCGATAAGCAGAGTAATGGAAGCACAGTCCAGGCATCTCAATCTCCAAACACTTCAAATGCTCGTGTTTTGAAAAAAAGTCTGTCTAGTTTATCCGAAACTGAGCGATATGATAGGAAAAGGAAAAGTGATCAGGCATCATATCGCCAAAGAATAAAGGTTAGCTACCATCTCATTTCTATCTAAAGTATTTTTTTTTTTTCAAAATAAATACTTAAAGTCATCTTTTTAATCAAAATAGATATTTATTTTATGTCAAAAGAGGTACTTAAACTATTTAAACCTTTTTATCTAAGTTCTAACAAAGTTGACATGTAACCTTAATTAAGGACTGGAATTAAAAAAATTGAATACTTTAAGTACCTATTTTGCCCAAAAAGATAAGTTTATGTATTTATTCTGACACAAAAATATTTTAGGCACTTAAATAAAAAAGATGATATACTTTAGTTACTTATTTGTTATATGTCTACTATAGAATATGCCTTGGGAAAAGCTTTTTCTACCAAATATCAGTTTTTCTCTTTTGGCAATTGGCAACGATTTAGCTGCCAAAAAGTTTTCCCTGATAGCTAGAAGGAAGAAGCATTTGAGTTTGGGAGAAATTAAAAGGGAAGATCTAAAAGCAGAATCCCAATGCAAATAAAGAGTTTTTATTCCTATTGATGTGTAGTTTGAGTAACGAATGATGTGTCTTTTTCCTTTGGAAACAGCAAAACAAAGTGCAAATGCAATTGGATTTTGAGAACCTTAATAGAGAAAATGATTCTTTGAAGGCCGAGAATCAGTCATTAAAACAGGATAATGCTTCCATGAATCAAACCTTGGCAAAACAAGCAGCAATGATTGATCAGTTGCGGAGTGATCTTTTGACGCTGAAGCATGACAACAGCAAACAAAATGTTCTTTTGGAAACACTTACACAGTATCTGGTATGTATCTTTTCTTTCTGCTCTTCATATACATGTAGTAGTTTATTTTTTCTTTATTTGCTTGAAGAAAATAAGGGATATGTCTTAATTGGTCATAATAGTGAGAAAGCGTATCGGCGGCTTAAGCTACTAGCATGCATGGTTGCTACAACTTTTCGGTTTTAATTGCATATGTTGTCCAAGACATATTGGATGATTATAGAGAGGTAGTTTTATCGTCTAAATATATGAAAAACTTGGAACAGTTTTAACGGTCTCTATGGGAAAAATACCTTCATGCAACACTCACCAGTCACCACTCTGTCCAAGAAACTCATATTTATCGACTCCAGACTTTTATAATAGTTATAATAGTTTTGTTACTGATTTCCGATGGGTTTTGCTAATAGACTTTTTTTAAAATGGTTAAAAGGCTTGTTAGTAACAACAACAACAACAAAACCCTATTCTCATATGCAATGGGGTAAGGGGAGGTAGGGTAGTAGGTTGCCCCCAACGCCAGGTTGAGAGCAGCTTCCGTGAAAGAACTCCAACAGTCATAAAAATTAAAAATAAAGATAAAATACAATGCATGTATAAATAAATAAATACATAGTTGACCGTTTTTTTTAATAAACAGTCTTCTTATGCGCGTCTGTAATGGGAAGTAATCCCTGCAAATAAATCCCTGTAATATAGACAGAAACGTAAGATTCGAATAAATTTAAAAAGATAAAACATGAAGAGAAAGATACACAGAAGTCAACGATAGCAAGCTACGAGAAGGAGTAAAGTCAAATGTGTTAAAACCTAAACTAAGGCAACATTACTCCACTATCCTAGTTCTAAGCCTTCATAAATTCCAATGACAGAAACGTGTAGAAAGTAGAGGTCAAGAAAATTACTACAAAGACATTAAAAAGAAGACAGAGATGTTATACCCTATGGTTGTGACCTGCACTACTCGGCTATTTTGGTCTTAAGTCTCCATACTTTCCTATCAGAGGTCATGTCCTCGGTAAGGGCTAAATCCTTCAAATCAAATCTCAAGCAGTCTTCCCACTTCTGTCTTGGTCGTCCTCTCCTTCTGGCACCGTCGACTGTAATCAACTCTACCCTCCTGACCGCATGTAACGGTTGTCGCCTAAGGACATGCCCAAACCACCGTAGTCTTCCCTCCCTCAATTTTTCAGATACAGGCACTTCCCCCAAGGACGTCCTAATAGCAGAGTTTGGTGTCATGTCCCATAGAGTCCTACCACATGCCCATCAAAGCATTTTTATTTCTGCGATCTCCATCCTCCTTACGTGATCCTTCTTGATTGCCCAACATTTTGATCCAGACAGCAGTGCTGGTCTTATTACCATTCTATAAAATTTTCCCTTAAGTTTTAGAGGCACCTTGTCACACAAAACTCCAGTAGCAGCCCTCTACTTTAGTCATCCCGCCTTTATATGGTGTGTCACCCCATCTTTATGTATCATAGACCCTAGGTATTTGAAATAATCATTTGAGGGGAGAACGTGTCCTTCTATGCAAACTTCTACATCTTCATCATTTTGTTTCCCACTGAAGTTTGAACATAAATACTCTGTCTTTTCAATATTGATCCTTAGAACTTTTTCTTCCAAAGCAGTCTTCCAAATATCCAGTCTATTATTCAACTCAGTTTTTGTTTCAGCAACTAAGACAATGTCATCAGCGAAAAGCATACACCATGGAACACCGTCTGGTGTCGCACAATAGATGTCGTCCATAATCAAGGCAAAGATGTAAGGGCTAAGAGCTGACCCCTGGTGTAGTCCGATTTCCACTGGGAATGCCTCGGTGTCGTCAACTGTAGTCCTAACGTATGTAGTAGATCTACAGTGCATATCACGAATCGCCCGGATATAAGCAGTTGGGATTCGTCTCGTTTCCAAGGTCTTCCAGATCGTATTGCGGGGAACACTATCATACGTCTTCTCAAAGTCAATGAACGCCATGTGAAGATCTTTATTTTTTTCCCTATATTTTTCTATAAGTCGTCGAAGTAGATGAATCGCCTCTGTAGTAGATCTGCCTGACATAAAACCAAATTGGTTTTTCAAAACCTTAGCAACCTGTCTCAACCTAGCCTCTATCACCCTTTCCCATAGTTTCATGGTATGGCTGAGTAGTTTAATACCTCTGTAGTTGTCACAACGTTGTGGATCTTCTTTATTCTTATAGATTGGTATCACCGTAGACTCTCTCCACTCCTCTAGCATCTTGACAGTCTCTAAAATAATATTAAAGATGTTGGTCAACCATTGAACTCCCTCTTCTCCTAATGCCAACCACACACCCTTGGCAGGTGCAATTCTCCTAATGCCAACCACACACCCTTGGCAGGTGCAAATCTCTGCCTCACACTCGCACCATAAGCCAGTAATTCCTGTGATTCAAACCCACGTAGTTGGGTTTGGGTGTCTTTGTAAAAGCTAACATATATTGCTTATTTTAAAGCTTGCATAAGATATAGTTTTTTTTACTCGGTTGTTTTAATTTTAGGCTGATCCATTGCGGCTCGAAAATGCGAAACTGAAGGCCGAAAATGCTTCATTAAGGAAGAGTGCCAATCTTAATAGTAATGTACTACAGCTGTTGGCAGAGAATGCCAATTTGAAACTTGAAAATAAGGTACTCAAGGTTCAAAACGATGCTTTATGTGGTAAGATTATTAGTGACAACGACAAGAAGAGAGCAAAAACAGTAATCTGAAGTACTGTCTGAAGATGTGCCGACAGTAAGTGTTCTTTCTTTTGTGCTCAGCTTGTTATGTTCTCTACTTCTTGCATACCTTGGTATCTAGACCACTTGGTCTGATCTTCCTTGGCAACTTCTCGTTTTATATTTGATCTTCAACATTGTTTTCTTCTTTACTCTCTTGAATTTCGCACTTACCTGCAGCTGACAGTTCAAGTCCTTGAATCTCTGTATTGTAGTTGCCGGATTCCGTTCAGTTTATCCGTTGAGGTGGTCTGGTCTTCAAGATGTCATTCCACTTTGCTGTTGCCTTGTTGCTACTGAATATTCCTTCATCAGCTATGGCCTTTGAATTAGATTTTGTGTTTAGTGCACTTCTGTTTTTGAACACGTCAGTGGTGAAATTCTCAAACTTCAGTGGACGTATATGTTGTATCCGTTTGTTTGTTTGTTTTATTTGAAGACGTAATCTTCATTGTTGTAAGTTATTAGAAATAAGGCGGGGGTTTTTTTTTTTAAATAAGGGTATGGTGTACTTGCACGAAAATTAATTTGAGATTATTGGATAAGTGTAAATTAATGGTTGAGATTATTTATATTTTGTAAAAAAAATTATTTATTTATTTTTAATTTTAATTTTAACCATTATTTTATAGGGTAAATTACTTGTTTAATACTTATACTATCAGTTTTGATCTGTTTTAATATTTAAATTTTCTATTTTTTTTAAAACTCATACACATTCAGTTTTTATTTCATTTTCGTATATCGTCATTAAAAACTTAACGTATTTAATACATAAACGATCAGTTTTGATTCGTTTTAGTTGTCTATAGTATACAAAAGGTGTTTAATATATGTTTATTTTTTCAATTTAGTGTTTAACGTTTATTTCATTCCAGTTTGGTGTCTAACGTTTCATTCCGTTATTCAAAATGGATTAAGTCATGGCGGACCGTTAAGTTTGAGCATTTAGCCATTAAAAATTTATTTTTAAAAAAAATAAAAATATTATGATATTTACAAAAAATAACTTTTCTTATATTATAAAATAGCTTCAAAATCCTAAATCCTAATCTTAATCCGTCGTTGTGTCCCTTTCCGACCACGACCACCGCCACCGACATAGCCCCTACTATCCTCTTACTCATACGTCGTCGTAGTTTTTGTCGATTGGTTGTTGGAATCACGATTTTCATCATAAGGTTTGTGGGGTATAAAACGTTGATTCGTCATCTATCGGTCATAATTTCATGGGGGTTTTTGGTCACGGAGAGGAGGGGAGGTTGGGTGGAGCTTCATCGATGGCAAAAGGTGGCGGTCGACGTGGATTTAGGGGTTGAAATGAAGGTTTTTAAAGTTTTGGGTTTATTTCAAAATTTTTATTTTCTTTTTAATATATATATATATACACTTTTTTAATTTTAAATAAATTTTTTAAAATTAATAGGTTCTGATACATGTCACTTATTATTTTTAGAAATTATTTTTTTAATATTAAAAAATATGTTATGTGTTATTTTTAATGGGTTAACGACCAAACTTAACAGTCCATCACGGACTGACCTATTTTGAGTAACGGAATGAAATGTTAGACACCAAATTAAAACGAAATAAACATTAGGCGCTAAACTAAAAAAACAACCCTAGATTAGACACCTTTTGTATACTCAAGCCTCCGTTTTAATACACAAACTTTGAATTTTTTTAAAATTTAACATTAAATTTTGAATTGATACTAAAATATGAAATTTCATTGATTTAAATATGAAATTTCATGAAGTAAAGTGAAACTGTCTTTGCTTTAATCAACAGGCTTAATTATTAAAAATATGCTTAATGTATGTCTTTGGTTCTAGTTTAATACTTAATGTTTATTTTGTTCCAATTTAATGTCTAATGTTTCATTTCGTAACTCAATTTAGATCAAACTATAATTTACCGTTAAATTCGATCATTAAATAACACATACATATTTTTTAATATTTAAAAATGATCTCTCCTCTCCTCTTCCCGCTCATCTTCTCATCTTCCCCAAACCAAATCAAAAAATGATTTTTCCCCTCATCTTCCCTCTGTTTCTCCTCTTCCCTCTTTCTTCTCAGCTTCTCACCGGCACCGCACACACACAGTTGGCAGCAAAAGTTCGACGCCACCGGGTACCAGATATGAAGACCATCAAAACAAGGAGAGAGTTCGAGCCCCATCGCATGAATAGCCAACCTCAACCCCCTTAAAAATACAGCGAAACATAACAAGATTGGAAAGATTACTGAACAACATTGTATCAAACCCCAATAGCACTCATCAGAAGAAAAATAAGATCCATCACCTAAATTCCCAAGGGCAACAAACATTTCTCACACCCTATGCTCACAATCATTTTTAATATCAATTTTGAGCAACCTAAGATACCATATCCATTTAAGCAAGACAAAACTGAGAGGGATACAATGCCACCCTCATTGTAAAAGTGATCGGCGGGGATACAATGCCGCTTCGATTTCCAGTTTAAGCTACAGATTTGCTGCCTTCGGTGAAGAGAGGGAAAGAGAAAGGGGAGGAGAAATGGAAAGAGTGGGAAAGAAAGGGGAAGAGAAAGAGGAAGAAAGGCGAAGAGAAAGAGGAAGAGAGGGAAAGAAATCATTTTTTTATTATAATTAATTTTTATTTTTAAAATTATTTTTAAATATTAAAAAATATATAATATGACATTTAACGATCGAAATTAACGGTACATCAATATCTAATCCAAACTAAATTAACGGTACATCTTTTAAAATAAACATTGTGTAGACATCTGTTTTTGTTCAGGCATTTAAAAATTATTATAATAAAATAATAATAATAATATTATTATTATTATTATTATTATTAATTAGTTACTATTACATGTTTGCAGGGCCCAATATAACCCGGAGCCCAATTACAAGACCCAAACCCAGATAAACCCAACATAGTACTTGACCTGAACCAGGCTTAAAAAAAGGACCCGAATCAGCCTTTGACAACCCTAAAATAATTAAGGTTTCTTCATCCAGCCGTCGCCTCATCTCATCCCTTGGATCTGGACCCATCCAACGGTCCAGATCGCTCAAGGGTTAGGGTTTATTACCCTAATTTCAATAGTTGCGCCGCCGTCATCAACTTTCCAGCATCTCCACCAGTGTGTAAGTCACCGACAAGTTGTCAGCCGAGCCAAGTCATCACCAAGCCGAGCCATAGCCGATCAACATCATCACCTGTCAAGTGCACCGAAACTGCCACCCAAAGTCAAAACCTAATCAGCATAATCCCTAAAAATCAGGGAAAAAACTACCTAAATCTACCTACTCCATGACTAAACGGAAGGAATCAATGATAAATCAAAGAGGAAGGTTTGAAAAAAAAGAGGATAAGGGAACCCAGTCGAGAGAAAAAATACCAGAGAGAAATCGAGAGAGAAAACAACAAACGAAAGAAACAAACCTTACCTTTGCTTGAAATCGTTGAAGCCCTATGGTAGTTGTGTTCTTTTTCTTCAAAGGTAACCGTTAGATCTTTCTAGATCATTAGGAGGCTTTTTAGGGTAAACCAACTTGAGTCTCGGGTTAAGGGTAAAGAGAGGTTTCGTTTGAGGAGTTTGGTTCTCTCCGACCGCCGTGGCTCCGTCGTGGAAGCTTCCGGCCACCGTGGCCTTGCTCTCTCCAGTTGATAGAATTGAATGAAGGTTTGGGGAGAATAATAGCCGGTTTTTTGGTTATATAATCTTGCTAAAACGACGTCGTTTGCTTGGGGGGGGGGGGTTCTGCGCGTTTGTAGTTTATGGTATAATTATGTTTTTAGTTCTTAATAATCTTATGTATTTAGTTTTTGGTTATATAATTATGTCTTTATAATCTTATGTATTAGCCATTAAATGAAGATATATTGATTTGATTTCGAGCTTTAATGTTTGTAATTATTTTCATGTTGGTCACCTATTTCATGTGTTATATAATCTGTGTTATTATTCGAATTTGACCTTGATATTTGTAAATATATTATTTTATTCATTATTTTACATTTGGTTTATTTATAATTTTGCCTTCATGATTTTGTTTATTACAGTTTAGTCCTAAATGCTATTTATGGGTTATTTTCATTTCTGGTACCTGGCTTATTTAATATTTGTAATCTGGATTTTGTTTTTAATTACTTTTTAGTCCTTTAAAATTCTATTTTTACTAATTTAGTCCTTGTCTGTTTGGTTATTTTATTTTATTAAGGATCACTCGTAAGCAAAATGTTGAAGTTAGTTTCGTGTGTTGGAAAATTATTCAACAATAGGGATATATCACAATCATAGAGATTGAATTTTTGGTTAGGCTTTTAAATAAAATATTAGTAATAATCGTTGATTTGATGAAATAATGCAACAAATTTGACAAAATGAAAGTGACGTTTTAGAAGTTATTTGGAGAAACTTCAATAATCCATGTTCAGGATGTGAAGTTGTCGGCTCAATTCATTGGTTTAGAATCAAATTGTTTGAAATTAGATTTTGTATGATTGAAGTCATTGGACTTTACCAATGGTTATCATTATTGTATATTTTTCTTTGATATTCGATTCTAGCCATTTCATTTGTAATTATTTTAATTTAGTCATTGCTGGACATTGGGTTTAATTACTGTTTAGACCTTTAAGTTTCTGTATTTATTATTTTAGTCTTCTAAATTTATATTTTTGCTGTTTTAACCCTTTAAGTTGTTATTATTACCATGTTATTCCTTGTAAGTTCAAATACTTTTATTTATTTGTGTTTTGGTTTGTAATATTTATTTTTCATTTCAGTCCCTTATGTATGTACATGTTGTAAATATTATTATTATATGTTGTAAATATTTTATTTTACATCGTATTTGTTTCTATCATATTTCCTTAAATATATTTTATTTATTTGAATAGTTTCAAGAACGGGCGTAGAAAGTATCACTTGATCGAATTGGTATAATCCAATACGACATTCGAACAAATACGAACTTGAAATAAATCCATTTTATTTTACTAATTAATTTATTTTATTGATACAATGTGTTATTTTAATTCACAATTTATTTCATTGTATTTTAAGAAGAATGTCAATTTTCAATTTATATTCGATTAGCGTTTTATCGAAAAGAGAATATTCTTTCAGGATAAGAAATAGTCGAAATAGCCTTCCCGACGGAGGATTGCTAATCTCGAGATTTCTTTTCAAGTTAAAGATTTTTCTCTAATTAATTAGTTAGAAACAAATCAAATTAATTTTAATAAATGGATCATATTTTGATTTTATATTCGAATCATATTTTTCCCCATTACGACAATGTGTAAACGACACAGTACCAATTTTGGGCGTTGTGGGGGTGCTAATCCTTCGTCACGCGTAACCGACTCCCGAACCCGTTTTAATCGAATCTTTGGTAAACGCAGACCAACTTTTGTCTTAAAAAATGATTTTTCTTAAAATTGTTTTAAAAGACGCTTTTTAAGTATTCGACATACTTAACTCAAAGGTCGATGACGACTCCTTTCAATTTAATTCTAATTAATTTAAAATTACCGAATTTTCTAAAATAAAAAATCATAATTTTTTTTAAAAACAATAAATAATTGTTACACCTAAAAAAACGGTTATGCAACGATATATCTCCGTAACATTATTTTTTTCCCAGCAGGAAACGCGAAATCTCCCACCAATTTCCACTGAATTTCCTTTCCTTTTCGCAGTCGAAAGAAAATCGGGCGAGTCAACTCTACCTACACGATGTATCGCCAAATATACGTCGCCGTCTACACAACTTATAGAGAAATCACAAGTCTCCACCGTCTCACTATAAAAACAAGGCACTTGGATTTCGATTTCTCTCTGTTTTCTGTTTGTTGGTGAAGCGATACAATCCATGTATACCTTATGGGTCGAGCCTTTTCTCTCTAACCTATCTGAATACGTTAAAGCAAATGTAAGAATCTTTGGTATTCTTTTTTAAGTTTCAGATTGTGCTGTTGAGTTAACAATATTCAACTTTTCTGATAGTTACTGACATTTCGGTTTTATTTCAATTTCGTTTGAGCTCAAACGTCCCCCCCCCCCCCCATTTTCAGGTGCCAGCATGTAATCAAGAACTAAACAGCGGGATTACCGTAAAGCAGAGTAATGGAAGCATAGTCCAGGCATCTCAATCTCCAAACACTTCAAATGCTCGAGTTTTGAAAATAAGTCAGTCTATTTTATCCGAAACTGAACGAAAAGAGACGAAAAGGAAAATTAATCAGCATATCGCGGAAGAATAAAGGTTAGGTACCATCTCATTTCCTTGAAAGAATTTGGATACTTAGAATATGCCTTGGGAGAAGCTTTTATCAGTTTGTTTGGCAATTGGCAACGAATTAATTGTTATAAAAGTGTCCCTTGATAGCTAGAAGGTAGAAGCATTAGAGTTAAGAGATGTTAAGGAGAAATTAAAAAGGAAGATCTAAGAGCAGAATCTCTAGGCATATAAAGATTTTGTTCCTGTTGATGTATAGTTTGAGTAATGAATGATGCTTCTTTTTTCCTTTGGAAACAGAAAAACAAAATGCAAATGCAATTGGATATTGTGAACCTTAGAGGAGAAAATGACTCTTTAAAGGTCGAGAATCAGTCATTAAAAGAGGATAATGCTTCCATGAAACAAACCGTAGAACAGCAAGCAGCCATGATTGATCAGTTGAGGAATGATCTTTTGCGGCTGAAGCACGACCATAGATGTTCTAGGCGAAACACTTGCACAGTATCTAGTATGTCTCTTTTCTTTCTGCTCATATAAATGCAGTTGTATAGATTTTAAACTAGTAATTCCTGCGATTTGAACCCATGAAGATGTGTTTGGGTGTCTTTGTAAAAGCTAACATGTATTCCTCATTTTAAAGCTTGCATATGATGGTATAATTTTTCTTTTCACTCAGTTGTTTTAACTTTAGGGTGATCTATTGCGGCTCGAAAATGGGAAACAAAGGAAGAATGCGAATCTTAATAGTAATGTACCACAGCTGTTGGCGGAGAACGCGAATTTAAAACTTGAAAATGAGGTACTCAGGGTTCAGAATGATGCTTTATGTGGGAAGATAGTGACAACGACAAGAAGGGAGCAAGAACCATAATCTGAAATACTGTTTGAAGATATGTCGACAGTAGGTGTTCTTTCTTTCGTGCTCAGCTTGTTTTTGCTCTTTCTCCATGGCTACTTTTGGCATACCTTCGTGCCATTTAGCTTCTTGGTATCTAGATTACATGGTCAGATCTTCCTTGACAACTTCTTGTTTCATACTTGATCTTCAAAAGAATCAAAACTGTCTTACTTTTCACTCTCTCGAATTTCGTACTTACCTGCAGCTGCTGGATTCTGTTTAATTTATCGGTTGAGGTGGTCTGGTCATCAAGATGTTATTCCACTTTGATGCTGCTGCTGCTGCCTTGTGGCTACCGAATATTCCTTCATCAGCTATTGCCTTTGAATTAGATTGTGTTTAATGCACCTGCGTTATATGTATACATCAGTGGTGAAATTTACAAGCTTCAGTGGACATGTATAAGTTTGTCCTTATTTTTTACGTAAACTCTAGATCTTCTTTGTTGCAAGTTATTAGAGACATGGCAGTTTTTTATAAAAGAGATACGAATGGATGTCTCCCCCCTCCTTCTTTCTCTATATAAGGCTGAGTCACTTGAGTTTCTGAGTGTTCTAATTTCCTTTCACCACCATCACTTGAGTGTAAATTGATGATTGAGATTATTTAAATATATTTTTTTTATAAAAAGTTTATCTTTTAAATTTTAATTTTAGTAGTTAAAAGGAATGATTATTATCCTTAAGAGTGTTTAATAAGTTGAGCCGCTCGTGAGCAGCTCGAATTCGACTCTGTCAAAACTAGATAAAAGCTCGACTCGGGATGATTATTATCCGTTTTAGCAATTAAACTTTTATTTTTTTCAAAGTCATGCATAATATTTAGTTTTTGTTTTTAGTATTCGTCGTTAAAAACTTAATACGTTTAGTACCTAAACTATCAATTTTGAATTGTTTTAGTACCTAAACTTCAATTTTTTTGAAAATTTCACGTTAAAATTTGATTGAGGTACTAAAAATGAAACAAAAACTAAATTTTAGATATGATGTTGAACAAATTAAAAGTTTAGGTACATAAATATACTAAAACTAATAGTTTAGATACTAAATACGTAATTTACCCATTTACCTTTTTGGAAAAAATAATCCTGAAACGACAAAAATAAAAACAAAGTTATCGGAGAAAATTTGGCCTTCGGATTGGGACCAAAAGGGGTGATTCCCCCCCCCCCCCCCCTTGTTGGTGACTAAAACCAGTTTTCAAATTCAATCGACATATCAGCTGAAAAGGTAAAATGCCTAAAACGAGAGAATCATTTTTGCCTTTTGGATCTCTTCTTTTCCCCTGTTTCTGCTTTTTCATTTTTCAATGGAATTTTTGGAGTTAAATTTGCTATTTTTTTTTGCCAACTTTTAAAGTTTCATTCTTTTCCCAGCTTGGGTTTTTTTCTTCAATATTGATAATCTTAGTTTCCTATGAATTGTCATCTAAGGTTTTTTTTTTCATTATGTGCGATGAATGTCATCATTTATTTAGAGCTCAAACCCCATTTTCATCAAGGGTTTTGAAAGATATGTAATTTGGATTAGATGGAAAAGTCTTCTCTCTGATGAATTTGTTGTAATGTACCAATTTTGGGCAAGCTTTTATGTAGATTCTTGTATCATATATCAATGCAGTGAAAATTAATCACTTTGCAGAACTGACATTTGATGTGAAATATAAATATACATCTTTTCTTTCTTCATTCCAGGATCAGTGCTCCTCCTTCTAGTGCAACAGGTGGGATAATATGAGCTTCACAGGTCCTTCTCTTGGTTCTGGTTAGTTTATCTGCTTTGCTCTATCTTACTCATAGCGTAATGTCTATAATGTTAGCTCACCAGCAAGCTTGTGTAAGTATTTTGATTGCTCTTAAGGCAATTGAATATACCAGTTCTTCATGTTATTCATGGTGGTTTGGTATATATAATATATGCCGAGTGAAGTAGATTTTTCTACAAATTCGGTAGCCTGATTTTCCCCGTGTTTAATTTTAGAGAAAATAACTTTAGTAACCGAAAATACCTTATAATATACGAATTTAACCAATTTTTTTTTGAATTTACAAAAATAACCAACAAATTCGCAACGCGAATTTTGCAAATCGAATTCGTCAATTTCCCAACTCAATTACCGATATAGGTAAACATGGTAGAAAAAATCCGGTCAAAAATCCGAATTCGCCAATTTAAAAACTGAGTTGCGAATTTGGCAAATTATTGTTACGAACTGTAAAATCTCGCCTCTTAAAGAAAAAATCATTTCGACAGTTCGTTTGCTTGGTTAAAGTTAAACGAACGAACGAATGAACATGAGTATACCCTCGTTCGTGTTTGGTCAATTCATTTACAGGCGTAGGTTTAGCTAAGTTATTCACAACGCGAATTTCGTTTTCGCAATGCTAAGTACCGATATAGGTAAACACAATTATTCGCAACGCGAATTCGCCAATTTCGCAACTCAATTACCGATATAGGTAAAAACGGTAGAAAAAATCCGGTCAAAAATTCGAATTCGCCAATTTGAAAACTGAGTTGCGAATTTGACAAATTCGTGTTGCGAAATGTAAAATCTCGCCTCTTAAAGAAAAAATCATTTCGTCAGTTCGTTTGTTTGGTTAAAGCTAAACGAACGAACGAACGAACATAAACATACCCTCGTTCGTATTTGTTCAATTCATTTTCAGGCGTAGGTTTAACTGAGTGATTCATACGTGGACTTAGCAACTGGATGTCCCAGGTTAAAAACCACTCCAGTGCATTTTATGTTCTTTAATTTTTTCTTTAAGAGGCAAAATTTTACAGTTCGCAACACGAATTTGCTAAATTCGTAACTCAGTTTTCAAATTGTCGAATTCAGATTTTTTACCGGATTTTGTCTACCGTGTTTACCTATATCGGTAATTGAATTGCGAAATTGGCGAATTTGATTTGCGAAAATCGCGTTGCGAAAACGAAATTCGCGTTGCGAATAGTTGTTGTTACCTATATCGGTAATTAGCGTTGCGAAAACAAAATTCATGTTGCGAAAATTTCCATGTTCGAGTTGCGAATTTGGAAACTGTGTTGCGAAATAAGAGTTCGCGTTGCGAATTTGTTGGTTATTTTTGTAAATCCAAAAAAAATTGATTAAAATCGTATATTATAAGGTATTTTCGGTCACTGAAGTTATTTTCTCTTAATTTTAACTGTTAATACTTGAGCTGTGCCTTGACAAATTTAAGGGTGGTAGAAGGGGGGCATTTGAATTTGGAAAAACCCATGTGGTTAGGCCCAAAGGTAGGCACCAAGCAACCATAGTTTGGCTTCATGGCCTTGGTGATAATGGTTCAAGGTATTATAAACTTTGCATTGCTTTCTAAGATTCGGATTTCTAGTTTTTGGTTAATAAATTTAAGATTAATTTGCCAATACTATCAATAACTTAATTTAGTTTTCTGAGGAAAAGAAAACAATTTAACATTCAGATTCCTCATCTCTTAACTATCAATTTTAGAAGGAAGAAGTATCATGTAGATTCTATTTGCTAGGTTTTATGCATGTTGAGTTATCATTTCTCGTCCTTCTCTTCCATCAACAATTCAACAGTTCTTTTAAGGAAAATATTAACAACTTACCTATGATTTTGTAAGTTAAAGTTCTTCCACTTCTTCTATCTTTTATGTTTCGCTTTCTTGTTTGGATGATTGCACTCATTAACTATAGTCCCTACAATTTAATGTGTTGCGGCCCTTTTTCGGGTTGGACCAGAATTGGGCTTCGACTTGAATAAATGGGTTAGAGCCTCATTTAAAAAATAATATTTAGGTTGATCGAACACCATCTTACCTGATCTGCATTTTACCAGAAATATGTCGGATTCGAGAGTCGATTACAGTCAAGGAAGGATTAACACCCTTGTACTGCCCTTTCCGTACTAATTTAATTTCCAATTGTCTTAATTAAGAAAATTGAAAGTTAAATTAAAAGGTAAAAATTCGATCCAAGTTGCTTACCTTTAATTGATTTAAGAGTACTCCTAAAAGGGCAAAAAGATGTTAAAAAATGAAATATTGAATTAATCAAAATAAAAAAGAGACAAAAGTTAAATTATAATACTTTAAACAAAGTAATATATATATATATATATATATATATATATATATGCCGAGAAATAAAATTAACATAATGAAAAATTAAAATAAATAGAACAAAACCAAATCACACATATTGAAAACACAACGTAATAAAAATAATGTAAAGAAAAAGTCAATTAAATTTTAAAAAATATCAATTGCAAAATTAAACAAAGATAAAATTACTAAAATTAAAATAAAAGAGATAATAAAAAGAAAAATAAAAGAATGATTATTATCGAATTAATGACTCATTAAGCATGGTAGTCTTTTAAATATAATTAAATAAAAGATGAAATAAATAAAGAAATGACCAAATTGAAAAATAAAATATAGTGAGGGTGAATTTAAAAGAAAAATCGAAATTAAAATCGAATTTATGGAGAAAAATAGGTTTTAAAAAAGAAATCAGGGATCAATTTTGTAATTAACCCATACCCGATCAGAAACACGTTGATTATAGGGTGAAAGCGGTCAGGTTTTGGGTTGGCTATAAAGCCTAGAAATCACAAACTATTTTCATTTTCCACCTCAAAACGGATCAAAACCTTTTTTTTGTTCTCTGAACATGTTCATCATGTTCTTCCTTTTATGAAGAACACTCCGTCGGGGTTAATTTAAACCCAGATTTAAACCGTGTGCCGCCTCGTCGGCCGTCGTAGACTGGCGTCGGTCGCCGTTTATCGGCGACAAAACCACATTTTTTTACATCATTCGAAAGCTTTTGTTCTCCTCTTTCCAAATCTCCGATTAGTTTTCACAAAAAAACCTCGTAGAGAACTAGATCTGATAAAAATCTTTTGAAAAAAAGTTCTCTTTTTTAGATCCTCGGCTTTTTTTATATATATATCAAAAATAAAACAAAACAAACCCATACAACCACATGCAAATGAACCGAAAAA